CAATAAAGATGAGGACAACAGTCCGAACAATGTAAATAGTGTAAATAGTTACAATACCTCATCTTAGGAATATAGACTGTGAATATGGCAATAAAGATGAGGACAACAGTCCGAACAATGTAAATAGTGTAAATAGTTACAGTACCTCATCTCAGAAATATAGACTGTGAATATGGCAATAAAGATGAGGACAACAGTCCGAACAATGTAAATAGTGTAAATAGTTACAGTACCTCATCTCTGAAATATAAACTGTGAATATGGCAATAAAGATGAGGACAAGAATCCGAACAATGTAAATAGTGTAAATAGTTACAATACCTCATCTCAGAAATATAGACTGTGAATATGGCAATAAAGATGAGGACAACAGTCCGAACAATGTAAATAGTGTAAATAGTTACAGTACCTCATCTCAGAAATATAAACTGTGAATATGGCAATAAAGATGAGGACAAGAATCCGAACAATGTAAATAGTGTAAATAGTTACAATATCCTCATCTCAGAAATATAGACTGTGAATATGGCAATAAAGATGAGGACAACAGTCCGAACAATGTAAATAGTGTAAATAGTTACAGTACCTCATCTCTGAAATATAGACTGTGAATATGGCAATAAAGATGAGGACAACAGTCCAAACAATGTAAATAGTGTAAATAGTTACAGTACCTCATCTCTGAAATATAGACTGTGAATATGGCAATAAAGATGAGGACAACAGTCCGAACAATGTAAATAGTGTAAATAGTTACAGTACCTCATCTCTGAAATATAGACTGTGAATATGGCAATAAAGATGAGGACAACAGTCCGAACAATGTAAATAGTGTAAATAGTTACAGTACCTCATCTCTGAAATATAAACTGTGAATATGGCAATAAAGATGAGGACAAGAATCCGAACAATGTAAATAGTGTAAATAGTTACAGTACCTCATCTCTGAAATATAAACTGTGAATATGGCAATAAAGATGAGGACAAGAATCCGAACAATGTAAATAGTGTAAATAGTTACAATACCTCATCTCTGAAATATAAACTGTGAATATGGCAATAAAGATGAGGACAAGAACCAAACAATGTAAATAGTGTAAATAGTTACAGTACCTCATCTCTGAAATATAAACTGTGAATATGGCAATAAAGATGAGGACAACAGTCCAAACAATGTAAATAGTGTAAATAGTTACAATATCTCATCTCTGAAATATAGAATATTTAAATATGGCAATTTTGGGTATGAGGACAACAGTCCGAACAATAGTAAATAGTGTAAATAGTTACAACTAAAAGCATCTCTGAAATATAGACTGTTCTTATGGCAATAAAGATGAGGACAACAGTCCGAACAATGTTCATAGTGTAAATAGTTACAGTAACTCATCTCTGAAATATAAAATGGCCCGATTATATGGCATTGTTCAAAAAATGAGGACAATTATCCGAAAAATTTAAATAGTGTAAATAGTTTACAGTACCTCATCTCTGAAATATAAACTGTGAATATGGCATATTCAAAGATGGTATTTATCAATTCACCCACAGGAATTGAATGTGGCACAAGGCCTTTTATTTCGTCCACCGGGGTATGTCCGAGCCCGCCAGGCCCAGCCAAAAACAAACCCCATCTAAACCCGACCAAAGCGGGCTAGTTCAATACCTCCACAACGAAACCAAAACTTGGAAAGCTTCGTTAAAGGTAAATCTCTGCAAGCAGAAATCGTGAAGACACCCGGCTCGGCAGCTCAATAAAGCACAGATACTAAACTTTGATCCCTAGCCACCGGGCCGAATCACCGAAATATTTTTTTATAGATAAGAATGAGAATAATGTAAATAATGTAAATAATTACAGTACCTCATCTCTGAAATATAAACTGTGAATATGGAAATAAAGATGAGGACAAGAATCCGAATTAACAATGTCTCAAATATAGTGTAAATAGTTTGAATGAAAATTAATCTCTGAAATATAAACTAAATGAAATATTCAAAATAAAAATGAGGACAACAGTCCGAAAAATGTAAAAATAGTGAGGAAATAGTTACAGTACTGGATCTTATGAAATATAGACTGTGAATATGGCTCATAAAGATGAGGACAACAGTCCGAACAATGTAAATAGTGTAAATAGTTACTCATCTCTGAAATATAAACTGTGAATATGGCAAAAAGATGAGGACAAGAATCTTTTCTGTAAATAGTGTAAATAGTTACAGTCTCATCTTTGAAATATAAACTTCTGAATATGGCAATAAAGATGAGGACAACATTTACATTTTCAATGTAAATAGTTCTTGGTTACAGTACCTCATCTCTGAAATATAAACTGTGAATATGGCATCTATAAAGATGAGGACAAGAATCTTCCTCAAAATGTAAATAGTGTAAATAGTTACAGTACTTCATCTCTGAAATATAAAAAATGTGAATATGGCAATAAAGATGAGGAATAACAGTCCAAACAATGTAATCATAGTTTTAAATAGTTACAATACCTCATCTCAGAAATATAAACTGTGAATATGAACAATAAAGATGAGGACAATAGTCCAAACAATGTAAATAGTGTAAATAGTTACAATACCTTTTATTAAAAATATAGACTGTGAATATGGAAAATAAAGATGAAGACAACAGTCCAAACAATTTAAATAGTATTTAGTTCAATTCCTCATCTCAGAAATATAAACTGTGAATATGAAATAAAGATGAGGAAACAGTCCTTAACAATGTAAATAGTGTAAATAGTTACAATATCTCATCTCAGAAATATAGACTGTGAATATGATGCCATAAAGATGAGGACAACAGTCCAAACAATTTAAATAGTGTAAATAGTTACAATACCTCATCTCAGAAATATAAACTGTGAATATGACAATAAAGATGAGGACAACAGTCCAAAAAAAGTTTTCAATGTAAATAGTGTAAATTCTTGTTACAATATCTCATCTCAGAAATATAGAAATATGAATTTATGACAATAAAGATGAGGACAACATTCCAAACAATGTAAATAGTGTAAAAAAATTACAATTCAAGAGCGTTATTATTCTATCTAAATCAATATAGACTCCCCAATATGACAATAAAGATTTCAAAACAGTCCAAACAATAATTAATTTAGTATAAATAGTTTCAATATTTCATCTCAAAAATTTAAACTTTGAATAATTTTTTATTTGAATAAAGATTTTCGGATAACAGTCCGAACAATTTTAATAGTGATAATTGTTTATCAATGCTATCTCAGAAATTATTCCTTATAATATGACAATAAAGATGAGGACAACAAAAAAAAAGAAATAATGTAAATTTGTTTAAATAAGCCAGTCACAATTCTCATCTCAGAAATATAGACGAATATTTAAACATTTAAGACTTTCGATACATGACGGACGAGGCAGATTTTTTCCCGCAGCAGGTTGCCATTTCTTTCAGCGGTAGACCAGTTGCCATCCAAGGCTATAGAACACGGTCTGTCCTGCGATTTACCCATAGCTGGAGGGTAGAAAAGAAGAGGATTCATACCTTTCCCAAGGGTATTAGCACGTAAGTGAATGTAATGGATTCGACTAGAAAGTCAGTCAGTCAGTTATGTACCATGCGTGATACATTCTTAAGCGATCATGTATCTTTCGATACATGACTGACGAGGTAGAATTTTCCCGCGGTAGGTTGCCATTTCTTTCTGCGGTAGACCTGTTGCCATCCAAGGCTTAAAACCCGGTCTGTCCTGCTATTTACCCATAGCTGGGGGGTGGGGAAGAAGAAGAGGATTCATACCTTTCCTAAGGGTATTAGCACGTAAGTGAATGTAATGGATTTGACTGGAGAGTCAGCCAGTCAGTTATGTGCCATACGTCATACACGCTTAGGCGATCGTGTATCTTTCGATATATGACTGACGAGGCAGATTTTTTTTTCCAGTTGTAGGTTGCCATGTCATTTGGCGGTAGACCAGTTGCTATCCAAACTACAGAACCTGGTCTGTCCTGCTATTTACCCATAGTTGTGGAGAGAAGAAGAGGATTCATACCAAGGGTATTAGCACGTAAGTGAATGTAATGGATTCGACTGGAATTCGAACTCGGCTCTGTGATTCCCCAATCTTCGAGCCTCTATCAATTACTCCACCGTGCCTCCATCATCCATTGCGTAGTTACTTCAACGTAAATATTTCCATATTCTAGGATGATGGGATGACAAATTTTAACAGCGTCTATTGTGGGATGAAGGGTTGTTACTTGCTACAAAAAGCCCTATACCACCCTTCAAGAGCGTGAATAGTTCATTGGCTTTGTTAAAGCAAAAATACATACGTATTTCAAACATAGGTTTTTCGAATAAGTATTATTTAATATAATTGTCCTTTCGATTAATTTTCATCCAGACAATTTACAATTCGATTAAATATTTTTCAAATAATTCTTTTTGAACATTTTTTTTTAGATGAGAAATGGACTTCGAGTAAACGAACCGTGTAGGTCTTAGAGAACTACATCCTTTTTCGAATTTCCTGAACTATCGCTACGGAATCATAAAGAAAGCATTGTACCAAATAACAGAAACCACATCATTTGAGGACTTTCAACACCGGCAACAACTAAAATGCATTGCACATGTTACGTGAACAGAAATATAATTGCATAATAAAGATATTGACGTGACAAACTACCTTAAACAAAGTGCCAGGAAGGAAACCCCCATAATTACTGGAAAGAGTGGCAAACCTGTTGAATTGACAAACCTTACACAATGTTTTAGGAGAAAGATTTGATAAATTTCAACTTGCTGTTAGGTTAAATATCCAGAATGTTTTCTTTTAAGGAAATAGCTAACGTTATTATTAACTTTAGAGATGAGAAGAACAGATACTACACTTTGATCCCAGGTTGATAGCCAGGGAGTGAAGTAAAGCATAACAAATAGCACTGGCTGTTTGCCAGATGAAGGTTTCTTTATAAGGAAACCGTTATTTGACGTTGAGATGGACCGAAGTTCACTAACAACTGGCAACACACACACACACACACACACACACACACACACACATATATATATATATATATATATATATATATATATATATATATATATATATATAAATCTGGGCTTTTTCTTTGGGCTTCAGACCTGCATCTGTGCGATTTTTTTGTCGGCAGAAGTTCATGTTTGTAGCTCTTTCTTTTTTTAAAACCTTTTTTTCCATCGAGATTGATTTGATTATTAGCAAATAAAAAATTCGCGGGTTTTTCGAAAAGAGTCTAGTTATCTATAATCATATATATATATATATATATATTGCCTTGCGGTTTCTATAACAAGCCGGTTTTTTTAAGTGAGTAGGTTGTTAGCCTACTGCACACCCACCAACCTGGAGGATCAGGTTTTGAATTCAGAGTCGTACTGTTTGCCAAGGCTATAGATAGAATCTTGCTATTTTCCTATAAAAGAAGGAGAGTATTAGCATGTATGTGAATGTAAAGGTTTCGACTGGAATTCGAACTCGGCTCTCCGATTCCTCAATCCGAGCCGCTATCCACTACTCCAGCGTGAACTTTTCATTGCCAACCCATAACCTCTACAATTTTCTGTCTTTCTTTTTTGTTCATTTATT